GACTCAGGGTCGCGCGACGGACGTTCGTACTCGAGATAGTCATTGATGATCTGATCGACCGGATGCGGGTGAGGCAGCGGGACGAGCTGGTTGTTTTTGGTCACGTTCTCCAGTCGTCAACCAAGATCCCCTTGATGTGATCTGGGACAGGCAGCCTGATAGAGGGGCGTGTGTGAAACCCATCCTCCTGAGGATTTGGTCAGTGTCTTTTCCACAAAATCGTAGCAAAACAGCAAACAATGCAGCCGAACGAGAAACGCCACTTGGCACAGAAGACTACACAGAAATTTCTGTGAGACTTACAAAGCTCGAAACTGAGCCAATCTGGGGTTCTTCGGTGTCTGGTCTGGCGATGGAGCGTCCAGGAGGTGTGACGACACACCCCCAGACCGTGAGACTCCATTCACCATAGGGGGGATTGCGAATTTTCTCTGCAGGCTGCGCCTCCTGCTCAGCGTGTTTGATCACCAGTCCATCTACTGGAGCCTTGTCTTGGAATTGGACAGCGCTTAGGGTGCCCTGCCGCTCTGTCTGTTCCTCGCACCTCTTCTCAACCTTCTTCTGCGCCTTCTTCTTCTTAAGAGACTTGGCGGCTGCTGTTTTGTTGACCCGTTGGCCATAGTATACATACTTCTTGTCGAACAAGCACTTGCCAGCCGGGTCGACGTACAGATGGTCTTGCCTAGGCAGCCTTTTGAAGCTGTCGTAGGCGCGAGGAGGCTCCCTCCAGGTGGAAACATACAACGGCCTCACTAGAGTCTGGGCCTGCCACGATGAGGTACAGCGGGGGGAGGTGTTGTCGACCGCAGTGTAGGTTGCAAGGGATGAGGTAGCCATCTTCAAAACACCGTTCTCAAGGCTGCCGACAATATTGGATTGGCCTCCAAGCAAGTCAAAACTCTTGTTTCTGCTGGTATGTGGTGGTCAAATGCAACGCGAGGGTGAAAAAAAGAGCAGACGCGGAAGCAAGAGCAGTAGCGACCGGAAGCTCGCGGAAATGCAAGCAAGTAAAGCAATCGCTGTGCCAGGTGGAAGGTGCGAACCGTCCAGCATGGCGTCCCGCCAACAAGCAGGCAGGGCAGGCATAGCAGGAATACTTAGAGAGCCATGACAGTGTTCTGCGCCAGTACAGACACCATGAGACCGTGTTTCCCTCGGTCCTCAGGACCCTCGCCGAGCGCTTTGAAACAAGGCAGATGTTCAGTAGAGTGTCCCACCAGGAGACTCCTCCCTCTCGAAAGAGGCAGAACCCTTGGTCTGAGACCAGTCAACATCGTTCCATAGAGTGTGTTCTGTGAGAGAAAATAATTCCTCCACGTTGGCTTTAGCCGCCTCCATTTGGGCTGGGCATCTCGAGGGCACGCCGCGTTGCAAGAGATATGTGGCCCACTCGTACGTGTCTGGGAACATTTCTCTGAGATACTTCTGCGTCTGCCTCAAGCGTTCGTCCTGCTCGCGACGCCACCTGCGCTCCATGTCTTGAAGCTGGGCAGCAGTAGGGGGAGGCGGGATTTCCTCCGCCGTGTCATATGTGGGATTGTAGTCTTCGTCTTCAGAATATTGGGGTTGCTCTTCTTCATGCGCAGAATGTCCGCCATTGACGGCTGGAACTTGCGACTGCTGGGATGCATGTGACGCCTGCTGTGAAACTGGAATGACCGTGTCTTGCGAACTTGAGGAGGACTTCTTGGCTCCTTGTTCTCTATAATTGCAGCTCGAGAGAGGCTGCTTGTCCGCCAACGGAGTTTGATAGTCGTTGGCAATGATCTTGGTTATGGTCTTGGCAATGCTGTTCAAAGTGGCAGCAATGCCGGTGGCCTGCCCGGCTTGTGGCGCCATGACAGGCGAAAAGTAATGAGAAGCCATGTTCAAAGAGGGTGGTACAGGTAGAACTTGGTTAGTGTCCAAATGCCGGAGAATCTTCTCTTCGAGGCGTTGTAATTCTCTCTTTTTTAGAGCAAGAATCGGTATTCTCAGCAAAAAGCAGGCAGCCGGGCAGAGACTGTATGATTGCTGACGACGAACGAGTGTTGTATGACGGATGGTTTCTGGCTTCGACTGAGCTCTGGAGGGCGAAATGACGGCCTTTAAGTAATCCAAAAGCACACCCTACTGGCTGCCGTCGGAGAGAGGCCCAGCAAGGTCTCAAGCCTAGATTTGCTTGAATCTTGAAGCTTTCGATTGTGCGAAAATCGTGGTTGGCAGGTGATATGGAGGAGACTGTCATGGCGTTTGGAGTGTTGTCCAAACCAGTGCACATCGTGGCTGGGACCGACCTGAGCGCCGTGGACTTCTCATCGGAGGAGCCTTATGAGCTATGATGTCATGGGAATAAGGCTGCCCGGGGCTGATATGGTTCCAGAAGAATGGGCCGTTGCCTCGAGAGGGCGATCAGGTAAGTCAAGGTTGGGCGGCTGAGATCACTTGATTCACCAACCACATTGTGGGTGCTTCTCACATCAAAAGAAGGATGTGGATCACACGACACCAGCATCTCAATAAAAAAGGGCAACGGGAAAAAGGAAAAGCGATGCAAACGATGCGTGACAGAATATGAACGTAACATACCGTCTCCAACTCGTAGTCTCGAGTCCGGCGAGGCCCACGGCCGGTAGCAAACAAGTTCGCGCTCCTCTCCTCGCTCCCCCGGGCAGAGTCAGTGCCGTTGGGGCGCAGACCCTTCTTGGGCACCTTTGAGGTGCTCTTCTGAAGGTTCTTCATCTGGGCGTGGAGCTGGGCGGCCAGTTCCTTGTTGGACTCGGTGAACTTGCGGATGCGGTCGGGGGCGACCCAGTCGTCCCAGGTGTTCTTCCAGCCCTTGTAATGCACGCGGTACTGGTAGACGTCGTTTTCCGTCTCGGGAGGCTGGATGTCGAGGACCTTGGCCTCGTAGAGCATCTCGTGGTGGAAGCAGAGAACGCGCTCGTCCTTGGCGAAGGAGGCCTGGTCGGGCTGACGGGCTGGAGCCATGACTGGCGGCGGTGGAGGGGCGTAGACAGAGGGTTGAGAATCTCAGATTTAGGGTTTTCACAGATTGGAAAGTCAACTCTGTCTTGATGTGTGGTGGAGTTCCTGGGCAAGAAGAGGGCTGAGCGACGAAGGCGATCAGAGCTTCGCGGAGCTTGATGGAGTGAGCATCAGTAAGGGGGATTGAGGTGAGTTCGAAGATACTGCCTCGACAGTGTAAGAGGCTTTGCGCACAGTAAGACGGCCGAATCTTCGGTGAGGGGCAGGCGCAACTAGGTACAGATAGGACAGTGTGAATGAACCTTGGTGCCCAGGATCTTGTCTGGAACTAACACGTACAGTGCGAGACGTCGATGCGCGTGGGATCGTGTCCTCTGCCACTGAGTTAGCGGATGCTCATCCAGGCAAATACAACCTCATACGCACCGTGAAGCTCCGCAATTGGCACAGTTGGCCTTTCGAATGCCACTGAAATGGGAGTTCGGATTCTCGCCGCGTTGGCACGACTGGAAACCCTGGATAAACTGGGCGTAAATGGTAGTGGGCGTAAATGGTAGTCGCCAAAATGGATAACCGAATCCAGTGAATTGATCAGCTGTGCGGACACATCAGTGGGCTTTGCGGACAACGCAGTGGACTATGCAGGTTACAGAGATGTCAGGCTTGTGAGACGGAAACGCGCCAGCGTAGGCCCTCGACGCGTCTGGCATGACCGCGTCTCAACCATACCCACTCCCACCCCTCCTGCTGACTACTCTCACATCGGACACTCATTCTCGAAACTCATATTCGCCTCTCACTCCTCGCGCTACAGCTACAGGTTTCTCACACTCGTGAGCCTGACAGTGTATACATCCCTCATTAGGTACATTGACATCTCTTCACCCACATACAGCCTGTCTGGTCGTCACCCATCACCACAGTCATGGCGCCCACCGAATCCAGCATTCTCACCAATTATCTCACCATCGCAGCCAAGCTGCCCACCATCCTATCCTTCGACCAGTTCGCCGCCCTCTTCCCCCGCTCTCAGCAGTCCAATCCCCAGATCCGCTCTCTGTACCGCGACCTCCAGCACCAGCGCAACGCCGTCGTCGATGCCGTCACCGAGAACATTGCCGTCGAGGAGAAGCGCGGCCGAGCGATGCAGCGCGAGGCCGCCCGCATCAAGCGTGAGGCGGCGCAAGAGCAACCCGATGTCGAGATGGAGATTGAGCGCGCAGTATGTGATCCCCCCCGCCCCTCTCCCTCTCCCCCTCCCCTTTTGTCTTCTTCCCGTAACCTCTCAGAGCCGGCACTGAAGCTGGACGACTCTCCGTCTCATCTAACCCATCTCCCCCCCGCCGCAGCTTTTCGGCCCCATTAACGGCAGAGACCCCAAACATACCCTCGAAACAGTCATCCCCGAGCTAGACAGCGCCGTCGCGGACCTCGAGGCTGAGATCCAGAAGCTCGAGGCGGAGGAGGCGGCCCTCGTAGAATCCATCCAGCAGACGGTCGGCAGTCTCAGCGACCTCCGGTACGGCCGGCTGTCGAACCCGCAGCTGCCGGAGGAGGTCATTCACGGGTTAAAGGGCCTGCAAGAGCAATGCGACGCGAAGAAATGAGACGGCAAGAGAGGAAGAAGAAAAGAAAAGAAAAACAAGGTGCACGCCCATTACGATTCCATCATCAATCTTTGTTCTACAGTCATTACATTGCGAGACGAGGAGGGGAAATTAGTGACGACGGCGACAGTTTCAAGTCGCATATGTATACCTTCCTGTCAGCCGGCCCGAGGAAACCTTAGAAACCCCCCAGCGAGATACCCATCATGATACATTCGTTCCTTTCTCCTTTCCGGTTTCCCGATTTTGTTGCCTTCAGCTTGCCCTTCCACGTCTGCCAAATCCCCGAAACCCCCGAACCAACAAAGGGGCAGAAAGCAGGTCGCTTAGGCGCGGGGCCCGTTGGGGGCGGGGGCCATGCGGCGGTTCATCATCCTGCGGCTGGCAAAGGAGACGAGCAGCATGACGGCCCAGTTGGGAACGGTAGCGAAGAACCAGATGAAGTAGCCGACGGGGACGGAGAGGCCGTGCTCGGCGATCCAGGAA